GGGCTAGGGATATTTCTATTCCTTTTGGAATGATGGTCTCCTGTTCATCTGTACCGTAGTATATCCATGTCTTGAAGGACACGTTTGCTGTGTTTGTGCTCTGGGAATTATGAATAAAGCTGTTATAAATACATGTGCAGATTTTGTGTGGCCATCAGTTTTCAATTCCGCTGGGCAAATGCCAAGGGGGAAAGTTGATGTATGCTAGGTAAGAGTTTGCTTCTCTTTGAAAGAAATTGTCCCCAACTCTACACAGTAGCTTTACTGTTTTGCATTTCCCCCAGCAGCAATTCAGAGCTGCTGTTGATCCACACCCTGTGGGCATTTAGCATGGATTTGGAGGACTCTGACATTTGCGCAGTAGCCTCTCCTCGCTTCTTTGGTGGCCTACGGTGTTGAGCACCTTTCCATGTACTGATCTGCTATCTATCATGTTTGCTCTGGTGTCAATGTTTTTGGTTTTTTGTTGTTGTTTTTATTGTACTAGGGCACACTTGGTAAGCACTCTAGGTCTGAACTGTATACCTAACTAGGGCCTATTTCTTAATTGGTTGGGTTTTTTCTTAATAGGTTGTTGATTGTTTTAATTATTTTAATACTTGGGTTTTTTGACACCACGGATCAAATCCAGGGCCTGGCACATGCTGCACACGTTCTGCCGCAGCGCTGCACTTCTAGCCCCAAGAAGTCTTTCTGTGTTTTGTGTACCATGTCACTAGCACCTCAGTGCACTACAGCCCAGGCTGAAGTGATTTCACCCTCTCAACAGCCATATTTTTAAAGCCAATATTCTATGCATGAGCCCATGTCATTCTGTAAGCTGACTGACGCTTTGTCTCACACCTCATGTTACTCCAAGCCACCACCAGAAATGTCTTGGATGTCCACATTTCTTTCTTTTCAAGATATGCTGGGCTTTAAAAACAACCATACACCTTAAAATCCTTCCAGCTTTCTCCTCCTCATCAAAGTCTAAAACCACGTCCACGTTTTTTAGGTGTACCAAATACCTGTGTTAGTTTCCTAGCCTTGCCATAACCTGTTACCACAGATATACTGATCAGGCAAAGGAATTTGAGATGTTCCCTAGAATTATTTCCATTCTAAGACTTATTTCTGAGATCATTATGTGTAGACCATCACTTACTGATACAAAATTCTGGTGTAACAGACATTTCTCCTGAAATCCTGCAGTTATTGCATTGTTCTCAGCTTTTACTGTTACACAAGGGAGATAGGTATCTTGACTTTTGAGCTTCATGGGTTTTTTTTTGGGGGGGGGGCTGCTTGTATGGCCTTTTCTCCCTCCTTGTCCTATTTTTTTTTTTTTTTGTCCTAAATTTTGACAACGTACATGTGGCTCTCTCTTTCTCCTCCGTGCTGTAGTATGTAGCTGTGTCGCAGGGAGTTCTGGAACTCAAATACTAGCTTCTCCCCCGTGCCGCGTATGACCTCGAGCAAGTCGGGCAGTCTATTTGTGTCAGTTTCCTTAGAGGTCAAGTAGAACAACAGAGAAGCATCTGCAGATTGGTTTGAGAATTCAGTTAATTTATGCTGCTCACTTGGAACACTGCCCGCGCACAGTGTTACTGGGCAGCCAACTGACGATTCCTACCCATGGCTGTCTCTTATTGTTTAATCTTTTAAATCATGGAGATCTTTAAGACTCTCCTGTACTGGAACGACCGATTTCCGCAGCATCAAGTGCATTCTCCAGCGTGAACATAACTGGTGCGGCTGTGCTGCCATTTGCTGTCCCACATTCGGTGTCCCCTCGCAGCTCTTCCGTTCCTCCGCTCGTGCAGCGTCCGCGTGAGCGCAGCACACCAAACTGCTCCCTGCGCTTCTCTAGTTCCTGCAATACTTCGTTTTTGAAATCTGCTTAGCGTTCTGAACTTTGTTCCTTTCCTTTATTAGATCATGAAAAGGGATAATGACCTCCATTTTTACAACTACAAAGCAACAGAAGACAAATTACAAAGCAGGTCAGGAAAGGACAGTGATAGGGACAAGCGTGCGAAGCTTACCGCCAAGGTGAGCGCCAAGGGCACCACCCGGTGGAAGTGGCCAAAATTGGCGACTTGAATCTGATGCCGCCTGGGCCTGTGGGAAATGTAGTCCAGGGCTTCGCGCGGCGCATCCTGGGAACTGTAGTCTGTGCCCTCCGTGGGGTGATGCTTGGCATGGCCGGAAGTGGTCGTGACGCCTCCTGTGGGCGTGGACGGATGTCGAGCTCGGACAGTCCAGCGGCTCGACCCTGGTTAGGTCTGGCGACAGTCCCAGTGCTTCTGGGCCCGGGATTCGAAAGTGCGGATGGCTGTAGGTGGTGGGACGCCCAGGAATCACCACGGCTACCGCCGGCCCTCCAGGCGCGTGACGTCACGCTCTCCCGGCGGCGCCTGACGGCGCTGCGGGAGGAAGCCGGGGGTCCGCGCAGGGGGCGCCCCTCGCTTCCCCGGGTGCGGGCGTCCCGCCCCGGCCCGTCGTGGGCTTTGTTCTTTGTTCTGGTCCAGGCGAGGCTGGCGCCCGCGGGGCCTGCACCGCAGATACCTCCCGCGACGCGGGCAACAGGTGTGCCCGCTGGTGTCGCCGCAGAGTTCTCGAGCCGGCCGGGCCAGGCCGGGATGCGCGCCTGACATGGAAGGTAGGGCGAAGACCCGGGCCGAGGGCGCCGCGGGGACCGCCCCGCCTGCGGAAGGGGTGGCGGGGAGGGCGCGGCGAGGCCGGCGCGGGGCGGCTAGCGAGGGGCGAGAGCCGGCAGGGTGCGTGCCCCCGCCTGCAGGTCGCCGGACTCCAGCGTCCCTGGGCCCCCGCGACACTTCTCACAGCCTTACAGTGATCTGGTGACCATCTCGTCAGCCTCAGGATGCGTTTTGAGAGTGCCCAGGCCGCTGGCTGTCGGTCACGCCCGCGCGTCCATCTCTCCATGTTGTTTGCAGGCTGCTGCCTGGCCTTTTCTTGCCGTTTCCTGTGTTGGGTAGAAGCGCTCTGTGGAGCTCAGTTCGCGCTGTGGACCCGATCGTTCTTCTCTAGCCCACGTCTGCGGGGCAGCTGGCGAGCCCGCCTCCCGTTTGCAGGCCTGAGGGCCGCAGCTCTGGGTGTGCTCGGAAGAAAACCCGAAGAGATAACGGACTGCAGAAGTGTCGCCCGCGCTCCTGCTGCTTGGCATCAAGATTTATTTGCTTTTTGGCGTTCTTGTGTAATGGAGTTGTTACTGTTCTGAGTGTCAGGATTTTGTGTTTATGATTGTCCGATTTTTTTGGTCTAGGGTTCCGAATCCCGTGGAATGTGAGGATGGATAGAGCACTGTGACGTGTCTCTGGGCTTCTTTCTGCATTGTCACTGTCCCTCTGTCCATCCTTTGTTTCCCTTCCCTTTTCTCCCTCCCTCTCTTCCTCCCTCTCTCTCCTTCTTTTTGAAACAGGGTTTCGCCACGCAGTTCAAGCTGGCCTTGAGCTCACCGTGTAGCCCAGGCTGAGCTCGAACTCCTTCCTCAGTCTCCGGAGTGGAACCGCATGCCCCGCATCTTTACATTCTTTAGTATGACTGCAGTCCAGTTTGGTTTACCATTATCATTTCTTTTTTTCTTGTACTTCTTAAAAATAATGTCATTAAGAGTTAACGTTATTTACGTAGGTTTGAGGTATCGTTTATATTGGTCATTTTCTGCTCTTCCTCTCATTTTATAATGCTCTTTCAAATTATGAGTTCCTCAAAATTAAGTTGGCCAAAAGGATTTCGTGAAGTCCCTGTTTTTTCCCTTTCCTTCTGGGACCATTCGAGGTTGTACACTAACAGAGTTTACTGGGCCAGGCCCCCGAGTATTTCTGTAACTCATTGTTATTGGTTCTTTCGGTTTCTGCTACTTGGAATGGAAAGCAGCTTGCTAGAGATGTTTCTCTTGATTCTGTTTTCCTAAAGTTTTAGGCAACTGTCCATGTACAGCATTTCCTTTCACTGCTGAACATTTCAGGATAACATCTTCGTTTTTTTCCCCCAAGATTTCTGTTACAACCTGGGCAGAATTTTAAGTAGTAAGTTTCTTCATTGCTTCCTGTGCTTTTTTTTTTTTTTTTTTTCTTCCTGTACTTTTTGAGGGGTAACACCTTTAAGATTTTCTTGAATCACACGTATGTTAAAATGAAACATCCATATCTTTCCAGACAGGGGAAATGTTCATACCCCCCTAGTTTTGCCCCCTACCGAGCTGCTGATGGTAGCCCTGCAGTGTGGCCATTCTCTATCCTTTCATCTCTGTTTCTGGCAGAATTCACACTGAGGATTACTGCATTGAATCTAGCCAGTTGTCCGGTTTCTATCATCACTTTCAGAAAACTTTACCCTGCCTTGGTTACAAAGCCCACCGAGGGCCCCTGGGATCTGTCAGGAATTTCAGTCTTTTTTTTTTTTTTTTTTTTTTTCCTGTATTTTAGGGAAGGGTCTACAGGGTGTTCAGGGTCTCACGACTAGATTGGACTTGTAGTGATCCACCTGTTTACAGCCTCCCAAGAGCTGAGATTACAGGCGTGCCCCACTACTCTCAGCCTAGGAATTTCAGTCTTTCGAGCCATTTCAGTGGTAGTTTCCAAGCAGACTGCCCTGGGCAGCTAAGTTGTGCTTTCTGGATCTCTGAAATGACTTAGCGTCTGCATGTTTAATTTTTT